ATAATACACAAAAAATTGTTTCAGTCAATAATTAAATTTAATAATTTTTAATTTGATTTAAAAGAATGAAATAACAAAATATTTATGGTATATAAAACAATAAAATTATAAAAAAAGAATTATAATTTATTTTTTGTTATTTTGAAATTAGAAAAAAATTGAATTAAAAGAAAAAAAAGAAAAGATGAAGTAATGAATGATAACAAACAAGAAGTACCACTTGATTTGGAGCCAATAATTATTTCACCATCTCATTGTTATTTATATGGGATTGATGGAAATGTACAAGAAATAATTAATGAAAGTAGAAGTAGAAAAATATGTTTATATTCTTATTTTCCATGTCTTATTCAACCGATTTGTAAAAGATCCAATTTAAAACGATATTTATATTTTTTTATTTCAGTAACATTTATAATAACAACAATTGAATTAATATTGTTTTTTATTAGTGCATTGTTTGAACATGAAAAAGATTCTTATATTTTAATTCTAACTACTAATTCAATTAAAATTGTTGGAGGAAAGAATTTATCATTAATTAAATGTGAGTACCAATACTTTAGATTAGTACTTCCTATTTTTTTACAAAACAATCTTCTTCAATTAATTGTCACAACTTTTATTCAATTGAAATTTGGAATTATTGTAGAAAGAATATTGGGAAGTTCATGGTACTTTATTATGTATTTATTTTGTGGAACAATGCCATTATTTGGGAGTTATTTATTTGCTTACAAATTACCATTTATTGGTTGTTCTTCTTCTTTAATAGGAATAATGATAATTTGGATTTTACAAATGATCATTCAAAAAGAGAAATACCATCCAATTGTTTGGGTTCAACTCTTTATTTCAGCTATTTTTAGTGTATTATTAATTATTGGTAGTTGTTTATTTACACAAATTGATGGTGTTTCAATTATATTTTCTATTGGAACAGGGATGTTATGTGGACTAACATATTTTGGCGATAATTTTAAATCTTGTTTAACAAATATCTTCTTTAAATGGGCAAATAGACTTCTCCCTATTATATTGTATTTGTCAATACTTACGCTCACAATTTTTGTTATTCATTTTGTTTTACCAGTGTCATGTCATTCTACTCAAACCGCTTCTTAATTTATTATTTTCAGTATAGAAATTGTCATCCTTTCTTGAAAGAATCTCAGGGTATTGCTTATAGTTTCATTGTTAATTTTGGAACTATTACGCTACAAAAAGAAAAAAACAAAAAGTATAGAGACTAATATATCGAACTGAGAATTGATATTTTTAAGTTATGGGAGATAATAAAGAAGATGTTATTAATTTAAATG